TCGCGCACAATTTGAGCTTCAGCTCCTGAAGAACAATTTCGTCTTCAAAAGCTTCGGAATTTCGGATGGGGGGGACGAAACCGGGACCCAGTTTCCCGGGTCAATGTTTAAATATATATATATATGTATATATAGATATAGAAATAGATATAGATATAGATATATACACATACGATAATATTAACTATATGCTAACTAAATATATTGGCCTCAAATTCAGAGCGACGAACACATTGAATATTGGAAGCTCCAGAGCTGCTGCTTGGTTCACGATCGCCTGCGTATGGGACACCGGGACAAGACCCCAAAACATCATCAAAAGGCCCGTTATAAGGTTTAGGGTTCAGGGTTAAAAGGTTTAGGGTTGAGGACCTCGAAGCCCTGTAGTCCATTTTCAACAGTGCTTTCGCCTGGCCTTGCTGCCTTTCACTTTCGCCTTCAAGGAAGCGAGCCATGCGGCCATCACCCAGGCACACACCGGCAGCAGAGGGCACAGCAAGGCCATTGCCAAGACTGCCGCACTGCCACCAGCAAATCCAACGAAGGTGGTGGTCACCAGCAAGGAGGCGAGGAAGGCAAACAGCGCTGTGAAACTGATCCACAGCCGCTGCCACTTGTCTGGCTGTAGTTTTCGAAGGCTACTAGCGTAGAAGCCGGCGTTCCATGCAATGGTTGCACCGAACGACACCAGAGCAGCTATCCAGAGAATGTGGCTTAGGGCTTGGCATCCGATCGCTCCACAGGCCAGCGGCACTATCTTGTACACATCGAAATCGGCACAGTTGTCCAACTCCTTCGGCACGACGCAGCCGCCGTCGTCGTCCGCCTTGCACAACATAAAAGTCTAGTTAATCTACGCGCATCTTCCTCATCCTTAGCTTGTTGATTCGCGCTTCAACATGTTATCGTTGGAACTTGCATTAACCTCGCCTCTGCATCTGCTTCGCACAGGGCGTTCGCGGCCAGCAAGGCATGACAAGCTGGAAGCTCTGCTGTCTCGGCCATGGACGGACACTCCGAGCTCTTCAAGGGCATCAAAGTGCCTGCAACACATGGCTGAGGGTTTAATAATACTTTATAGGGTTCAGGGTCTGGTTTGGGGTTAATTACCGGTTAAGGGTCACTGCAAGTGTGCGAGTTGCGCGGTTGGGGCCGGGGTTCGGGTTGTCAGGGGTCAGTGTGCCTGCTCCACACTGTGCTGAAAAGCCGACCAGAATTGCGCGCTGATGCGCTTCCATCGCATAGAGCATCCTCGGCTGGATTCTATCATACCCGGTCCACATTAATAAACCGAAAAGATGAAGGAACAACGTCTGTACATTTTAAGCATTAAACTTTATACACTAATTATAACTCCTGTCAGCTGTTTTCCCGCTGTGCAACATGTGCCTCTTTTTGCAAGCCAGGGGGCGATGAAAGCAGGTTCCCGGACTCCAGAAGCATTTTCACTGCCAGGACGTACTTCGACTGTTTTATGATCTGGCGTGCCCCGGAAAATGTGTCGGGAAGTCCGAGCCTTGGTAGGAACTTCTGCGCAGAAGCTTGCCCTTCAGTTTGAGCTAGGGGTGCTCCTTCCGACTGTTTGGCTTCAGCTCCATGAGCTGCTTGGCTTGCTGACGCTGCGTCTGGACCTTCTTCAACGGAACTTCCGAATATCTGGGGTTCTTCGATGGACTCCATGGACTCGATGGACTGCCTGGACTCGATGGACTGCCGGGGTGGCGAACCGGCTTGCTGGCACATCTTGGCCATGAAGATGGGCACCGACAAAGCAACCAGGTAGCCGCCCAGGGCGGCCAATGACCAGGATCTTACATCCTCAAAAGCCAAGTCAGTTGCTGCCAAGCCAGAGGGAGCCTCGGTGTGTGTGGTGGTAGTGCTCGTGGCGCTCACGGTGGTGGAGGTGGTCATGGTGGCTGTGCTAGTGGAGGTAGTGGTGGTGGTGCTGGTGGCCCATACGTAGACCTTCCCTGAGTTCACTGCGAGGTGCTCGATGCCATCCATGGAGAAGGCTGCCCAATTGCGAGCGGCGTTGGTGGGAATGCTCTGTATCTCCAAAAAGGTGCTGCTGGCATCGTCCCACTTGTAAACCTTAGAGTCAACATTGTGAGAGCTGTCATCGAAGTGATTGGCCACGGCAAGGTGCTGAGTGCCCTCCATAGAGAAGGCTGTGAAATCGAACGCGCCTTCTGTGGGGATGCTCTGCGTCTCCAAAAAAGTGTACGCCACATGGTGCCATTGGTAGACCTTAGAGTCAACTTTGTAAGAGCTGTCATCGTGGAGGTTGGCCACTGCAAGGTGCTGAGTGCCATTTATCGAGAAGGCTTCCCAACAGACTGCGCCTTTGGTGGGGATGCTCTGCATCTCCAAAAAGGCGCTACTGGCATCGTTCCATTTGTAGATCTTGGAGTCAATGTTGTGGGAACTGTCATCGCCCAAATTGGCGACTGCAAGGTGCTGAATGCCATCAATGGAGAAGGCTGCCCAATCATGAGCGCCTTTGGTGGGGATGCTCTGCATCTCCAAGAAGGTGCTGCTGGCATCGTCCCACTTGTAAACCTTAGAGTCAACATGGCGAGAGCTGCCATTCCCAGAGTTGGCTACCACCAGGTGCTGAATGCCATCCATAGAGAAAGCTGCCCAATCGTAAGCGCCTGCGGTGGGAATGCTCTGTATCTCCAAGAAGATTCTGCTGGCATCGTCCCACCTGTAGACCTTGGAGTCAACGTTGTAGGAACTGCCATCGAAGTGATTGGCCACGGCAAGGTGCTGAGTGCCCTCCATCGAGAAGGCTTCCCAATCGATTGCACCTTTGGTGGGGATGCTCTGCATCTCCAAAAAGGTGCTACTGGCATCGTTCCATTCGTAGATTTTGGACTCAATGTTGTAGGAACGGCCATCGAATTGATTGGCCACTGCCAGGTGCTGAATGCCATTCATGGAGAAGGCTGTCAAATGGCTCACAGCAACAGCGGGGATCTCCTGCAGCTCCACGAATCTGTGGCTTCGGCACAACATTGCCAAGGCCAAGGACAGAAGTGCGGCATGCCACGAGCACGATGACATCACGAGCCTCTCTAACCGGCGCCGTATTGGGCCCTATTGGCTGGCAGCTACGTTTTCCACCTCGCGAGCCGATGAAACTTTTGCTCAATGCCCAAACCACGTCGCCCAAGAGGATCACCTCCGTCCTGACTTCCTAGCACAGGTAAGTTCAAACAAGTGGTGCTGGTCGTGGTCGTGGTGGTGCTGCTGGTGGCAGTGCTGGCGGTGGAACCGGTGAGTCATACTTAGTGGCGTGGTGACCAACAAGTCCTCGTCGAGCTTCACATCCCCGCCGTGGTGCTTAATCATACCCGTCTCGAGTTGTTATTTACTATCGCTGCCTGCTGGGCAAGACACCGACGAACGGTGCGAACAACGCTACTGATCATGTGGGATTGAGCTGCTCACCTCAAGCTCTTCGAAATCTTCACTGCGCAACCGAAGGACGCAAGCCGCCCCTCCGCTGCCGAAACTGCCGCTTCAGCACCGAGCCCCCGCGCCCAAAGCAGTCCCATCCACTTTTGATGGCCACCGCATCGTCCCCGGTCTGGAAGTAGCTATCCTCCACAGCCAAGGGCAGGCCACGAAAACCCAAGAAGCAGACCTATATACCCTAAATAACCCTAACCCCAACAAGTGTTTCAATGAATGTCGGGGCCTTCAAAAGTTAGAATAGGGTTCTGGATTTTGGAGGTTCCTTGCTATGATTATAGTATAATAATATACCCCCAGACCCTATTCTAATCTTTAAGGCCCCTACATTAACCCTTTAATGTTATCGCGCTGGGATCTTCTGGGGAGTGCGGAAGCAATGGTGCGGACTCATCTTCCCGAATACAAGTAGGGTTTAGGGTTTAGGGCTTCGGGTATGGGCGTTCTCTGTTTCAAAGTCCGTTAAGGAATCTTGGGCGCACACTACTTACTTGGCGACCTCACAACCTCGGAACCTGCATCCCAGTTCGCCCCCAAATAAAACGAGCCACCCACCCACCCTTTTGGACAGATCCGAGGCCGCCATGAAACCCTAAACCTTGAACTCTTAAGCCTTACAAGTCAGAAAACCCTAAATCCTAAACCCTATCTCCTAATCCTAAACCACACAAGACCCCAATCTGAAGTGGCACTTGGAGATCTACAGTTTGGAGGTTCAGGGTTTGGGGTGTTTCGGGTTTAGGTCTTATTTTAAAGTGTAGTGGGCCTTTCTCCATGTTGCGACACAGGGAAAAAGTCCTGCCAGGGGCTTTTGAAGTTTAGGGCTTAGGGTTTAGGATTCAGGTTGGGCTAAGGACTAAACCCTCAACCCTAAACCCCTACACCCTAATCCCTAAAGTTCCTAAACGCTAAACCCTTACACCCTACACCCTAAACCCTAAACCGCAAGTCCCTAAACCCTAAACCCCTACACCCCAAACCCCTAAACCCTAAACCCCAAAGTCCCTAAACCCTAAACCCCTACACCCAAAATCCCAAACCCTAAACGGACTGAACGAGAAGATCCAGGTCCTCGATGAGCACATGCCGACTGGAATCTGGATTCACGCCGTCCGTGTTGGTGGGCCGAATCATGGGGTCCCACCTTGGAGGTTAGGGTTTAGGGTATAGGGTTTAGGCCTTAGGGTGTCGGGGGCTTGGGGATCTGGGGTTCAGGGTTTCCTGCTTTGGCTAGAGGGTAGGGGGGGGGGGTTCGTTCTAAGTGTATCATGTAGGGGCCTAAGTAATTAGAATAGGGTGTTGGGGGTGTATTCTACTGTATATCTATTTATAAGAAGGCCCCCAAAATAGTATAGGTAATTATGAAGACCCCTATAATAGGGTTTGGGATCGAGCTTTGGGGGGCTCAGAGATCAGTTTCAGTGTGAGACATTTTGATCTTTGGGGCGTTGGACATCGCAAGGCTGCGGGTCTCAGGTCCCTCCGGAATCTGACGTTGGGGCCGAAGGCCTCCTATGGTTGATGATAGAAATCCTGCATTACCTGAAGGACTCTAAACTATACTTGCTTTATTAGGGGTAATGCAGGATTTCTATCATCGACCGTAAGGGGGTTTAGGATTTGGATTTAAGGCTTTACGGCTCAGGATTTGGGGGTTCGGGCGTAGGGCACCGGGCGGGGCACGGGTTAGGGTGTTGCAACATGGGCTTGGGGACCTCGGAAGCCAACAACCCACTCAATCCTGCGCTAAATGCTGCTGCACCCTCACAGTCTTCTAACAACTTAGATCCACAGGGAAGGACCGCAAGCCCAGTAGCCAAACCTACGCCGGGGCCTTATAGTAATGTTAAGATAGTTTGGGGATTTACTCTCTCATGACTCAAGAAAAGGGCTAAGACGATATCATTACGAAGTATTCAGACATTTGCATTATTCGTTCCTAACTAAAAAAGATAACCCCCCAAACCCCAAACCCCAAAAAAACATGCCCAAAAGGCAGTTCCAGCCTAAACCTTAAACCGTAAGTTCCTGAGGGGAGAGCGGCTCAACGAGGATGGTGAGGTGCTGGACGGTGACCTGCCAAAGTAGGGTTTGGGGTTTAGGGCTTAGGGCTTTAGGGTTTGAGGGTTTAGGGTTTAGGGGGATCCTTTCCTAAAGCCGGACAGGTTTACATAGGGGTTTAGGTTTTAAGGGTCGGGTCTAGACGCTTAGGGTCTATGGTTTGGGGTTTACGGCTCAGGGTTTGGGGGTCAGGGGTTTCGCGGGCCTTAGGATGTGATTCTGCCTTGAACGGAGACTTAGGATTCTTCTGCTCAAGGCTGATCTATGGTAGTCAGCGAACCCCTGTCTCCAAGTGTCTTGGAGGGCCTTCAGTTCAGGATCCTATAAATCCCCCGCATATTCAGGTAGAGATGGAGGGCTTCGACGAACTGGAAGTGTATCGCCAGCATGGTTTAGGGGTGTTCAGGGCTTAGGGTGAATCTTCAGGGCTTAGGCATTTCTCTCACTTCCCCAAGAATCAAGGCAAATTAAAGGTTAAACTTTCAGATTACTACTCAGTTATAAGAACCCAAAAAGTTGAAAGGTTGGGTATTTATTCGAGAACTAAGTTCTGGGCTCAGGGGTTTTCGGCTGTAGTGTCGGTTTTAAGGCTTATAGGGGGCCTGTGTAGGATCTCCCGCTTATCAGCAAGACATCTTCAAGCGAAGCATCGTCGTGCCCCCGTAAAGAATCCCAAGGGGTTGACTGTGAACCACGAAGGGTTTAATAGGTTTTGGGGCCGAAACACCAAGCAAAAATCCTAAACCCCAAACCCCTACACCCCTGAAGCCCTACAGCCTAGACCCTGAATCCTGAAACTAATGCCCTCCGAGCCGGCCACATGCTCGCAATTCCAGAGGTGCACCGACCAGAATCCAGGGTTCCTGCGGGCATGACGACTGACGTCCCTCGAACCCCCTGAATTCAGGGTCCAGCTCCTGAAACCCTAAACCCTAGCTGAAGTCTGGGGTTTAGGACGTCCTGTTGAGTGGATCCTTGGGGGTTAAGAACTCATATCGCACCACGGATCAAAGCATGGAGCGCACGAGCAAGTGGAAGTCCAAGAGTCTAAGACTCAGGATTTTCGATCTAGTTGAAGCTTAGGCTTTAAGGTTGAATATCTAGCTGAAGTTTTGAGTATAGAGCGCAAGATTTCGGATTTTCGCAGTAAGAGTTCGAAGATAACCCAGAGATCCCAATACCCTTTTAACTAAGCAATAGGCCTTAAATTAGAGGGTTCTTAATATTACATATGATTTACGGTATATTCCAAAATTAAGGGGTACTGGGTTCTGTGGGAACGGCTTCGGGTTTAGACTGGTTCTCCCGTCACCATGGGCCGAAGCCCAGCCCGCGCCTGATCGTCACGTTGCGCAGCAGGATGCCCTGCAACAGAGGGCAGATTTGGGTCTGTTTAGGGGTTTGGGGTTTAGGGTTTAGGGTTTAGGGGTTTGGGGTTTCGGGGTTTAGGGTTTAGAGTTTAGGGTCTAAGGGGTTAAGGGGTTTAGGGTTTAGGGTGGGTCTGCTTGGGCTCTCTGGGTCTAAGGTTGACATCTGGGCCAACCTTTCGGGGATGTTGCTTTGGGAGCTCAGAAGGCTGCAGGCTCGGCAATGCCAAAGACCCCAGATGCCGTGAAAACCGTACAGACGGGCTTAGGGTTTAGGGTTTCGGGTTTAGGGTTTGGGGTTTGGGGTTTGGGGTTTAGGGTTTGCGGTTTAGGGTTTAGGGTTTGGGGTTTGGGGTTTAGGTTTAGGCTTTAGGGTTTAGGGTTTAGGGAACATAGAAACCCGAAACCAAACAAACAAGGACATCCTATGAAGCCCAGGGCCTTGGGAACACCTAAGAACACCTTACAGAACCCTCAAACGAAACATATCTATAACTAAATCTAAGTAAGTGAACAAGCAAATTCACCAGAGAAAGAAGCCAAAAACAAGTACATACACAAACACACATAAATACAGACATCGAGATAACTACAAATACATGTAGATACATATGCGTATGTTTAAGTGTATGTTTACAGTTATATACATAGCTATCTCTCTGTCTGTCTATCTGTCTGTCTGTCCATCTACACGTATGCAAAGAAGAATGGAAACGATGAGGCTCCGGCAGCGGACTGTTGGAACTGCAGAACGTGGGGTCGTCCGAGGAGGGGCTCTCTCAGCCATCGCCTGTTTTCGGTGGTTTTGTGGAGTAGGTCTTTCAAGGTGTACCTGAACCCGAAATCCTACCCGTTTAGGGACGTATATAAGGACATCATGATCATGATAAGGAACCCAGAAAAGGTAGGTTCTTTGTTGGAGTCCAGGTAAGGTTTAAAGCTTCCGAGCTTCGCGGTTACGACTGAGGCTTTAAAGTGTTGGAGGATGCGGCGGTTTTTGGTTGCATAGTAGGGCTTTAGAACATTTTTAAAGGCTTTGCGAGAGTTCAATAAAACATAAAAGGGCCCCTAAACCCTAAAATCCTAAAGCCCCAAAAACCCTAAACCCTAAAA